CAAAATTCAACCGTGATATCTCAAGTCTAAGGAGTAATAATACACTAGTATGATCTTATGATACATTATTGACTATATTTTAAATGTCCATGTGATTCATCATAAATGGTCATATTCAATAAATAGTTTACTAACCGTTTATCCATGCTAATGTCTTAGTGATATAACTTTTATAATCACCCACACAAATACCATCACATGATATTCAACGGAGGTATTCAGCATGTCTACTATGTAATATTATTGTCCAATTAATATTATCTATGTAGGGAATACTTTGATGATTTTGATCTTCTAAAGATTTATATCATCTAGACATTTCACATGTAATACATATATGTAAATAAAACAATAAACCTCATGTGAAATAAGAACATTTTCTTTTATTAATAAGATAAGATTGTATGTACAAAATATATACATTAACATATATATATAAAACATAATACCTTGAAACCGACGACACGATTAGTTCATAGGATATACAATAACAGTTATATATAAATTTATATTTATTATGATAAAGGTATATTAGGTAATTAATCATGTGTTTCTTTAAATATTTTAGTGTCCAAATATAAGTTATGGAATTTTATTTTTTCTATTTAAAAGATTTATCTGAAAATAAGTGATAATATTGTGGGAAAAAAGAAAAAAAAAAACAATCAAAAGGCTTTGGGAGTGATTTTTAGCCCCCACCCATTTGATCCGTATCCCCCACTTTTAAAAGTTTGTTGTGTTGTAAGTTTAACTTTAAAGACAATTACAAGAAAGAATACTACAAATTCTAAGTACACCAACAATTGATTTTATAGTATTAAACCTTTATTTCTTGCATAAATCGTCAATCTAAATTATCATTATCATTGAAATTGTTTGTTTGATGCAAAAATACTTTATTTTTTTAATTTTCACAACAGTTAAAACTGATATTTTGATTCTAAAATTGAAATTGAAGAAAGGGGTGTAAAGAAAAATTCTAATAAAATAGGGTTTAAGGAGAAGTTTTTAAATATGAAATGGATGTATTTGGTAATAGAGGATGGGGGCTAACAATCACTTTCCAAAGACTTAAATGAAAAGTGAGAGAAAACAAACAACTCCTAAGTTTTTAATTTGGAAGAACTAATGTAGAATATTTAAGCCATATAATAAAACGAACCGTAATGGTACAAAGAAATTATAAAAAATGAAAATAAAAATTAGAAGGATGATACTTAAACAAGGGGAGAAATTATTTAAAGCTAGTTCTAACATATTTAAATAAGTGCCGCTTCCTAAGTTATAATAATATTTGATAATTTACAATAATATTAGTGATAATTATACCTAAAAAAATATATTTCAAAATATGTTACCCAAACTTCTTTATTTTTTTTCCTTGAAATGCTGAGGATTTGTAATTCTTTTAGAAATATATCGTAATTTTTTTAAATTTATTTTCTAATCTTTCAACAATGACTTGACCTCATATTTTTCTTAATTATACTGTAATTGGCTGAAAACTTCTCTATTCTTTTCTTTTTGAATTGTTTTAGGCTTTTTTTTTTTTTTTGTTTATCTTTCTGTTTTTTTTTTTTTTTTTAAATATTTCCCCAGATCTATTATTCTCCCTGTTTCCATTTTTTTCTTTTTCAATCTAATTATCTGAAATATAATTATAATAAAAAGAAATGTTTGATTATCTTCCTAATCTCAACACCGTTATGTGGCTGTTATCAACCGCACAAGATAAAGCCCAAAGTTATAAATGGTAAGTGAACTATAACCTATTTTATACAAGACTGGATTTCATCCTATAAGATTTAAGATTCTTGTAAGGTTCAAGTTACCGAGATGTGTCATGTATAATGTTGACAGAAAACTATTTCTGATTAAATTATTTTTAATGTTCCTGATATAAAATATTTCTAATGGAACTATAAAACTCATGTCCCCACATACTTTGGAAATTCTTTCAATCCCCTTCTAATCATATTTTTAACAATAAACACCCTTTATTTTATTTCATAGAAGTTGACTCAATACACATGGACGTCACTTTTTAAAAGTTTTCTTTTCTCTGTTCCTTTTTCTCTCAAACCCCCAATTCACTTTAAGCTTACTCTTTATTTAGCTGCATTGGCAAAACAAACAATATATATTATAATTCCAAGAAAAAATTAATTTTTTTTTTTCTCTTAACTCGGCCTTCTGTTCGCTGCCGCAGCTGGAGCTATTGAAATCGCAACGATTATGTTGAAAACAAATCCAAGTTTATTGACAATCCGAATGTCTAACAATATGGCACCATTGACCATTTTATATGGCTGCTCTGTTAAGGACATGACATCATTTTATTTGCTAAAGCTAAACATGTTTTGACAAGGGAGGACCAAATTACTCTACTTTTCACTTGTTTGAGCACTGATTTATATATGGTGAGAGTACATCCAATTCCATTCTATACATCCTAATTTTCATACATAAATGATATGTATATTTCCATATTATATATATTTACATATAAATAATAAGATAAACAATACGCTACATATAAAAATTATTCTTTATAAACTGATATCACAAACCCTATATATTTGATACGTAATTTGTACATCTTTCTAAGAAATATTCAAACTAGTTAGAATCGTAAATCATTTCTATATCCTAAGTTTGCATTCAATTCTTTTGCTTATATAGTTGAATTGCTCAAATCTCGCATTGATATTATAAAAGGATCGTCCAGAATTAGTTGTGGCTCGTGATAAAAATTGCGAGACAACCTTACATGTTTTAGCCCGAAAACCTTCAGTGTTTGCAAACAGAAATCAAGGACTACTGAGCAAGCTTTTCTACTCATGTTAGTTTAATTCTCCAACACTTTGATTTATCATATCTTTGATGACTCAACATAAAATTTAAATCCCAAATTCTTAGTCCCAGGAATGAAGTAGGATTGCAATAAGGATGTGGTCTCAACTCAAGCTCTTCAATTAGTGAAATGTCCTTGGGAAGAAATATTAAATCAAGATGATTTGGAGTTGGTGAACCTAACTAAAACTCCTTCAAATCTCATGTTCGATGCCGCTAAACTGGAGAATTCCGAATTTTTGGTTGAGCTTGTTAGCTACTATCCTGATTTGGTTTATGAATTAGATGAGAATGGTAACAACATATTTCACATTGCAGTTTTGCACCACCATGCCAATATATTCAATCTACTATATGTTATAGGCTTGGCTACAAAAGTGTTGGCGAGTGGCGACCATTGAAGATTTTGAGTGCAACAATATGTTGCATTTAGCTGCAAAATTTCCACACCCAAGTCGAAATTTGGGCTTTGGGTGTAGTAGATTTAGACTTCTCCCCTTCAATTTTTTACCCCTTTTACAAGGTTTGTGGTTACCGGTGTCCAGTGGACTTGCATAATGTTAATTCCTTACTTGATAGCTTCGAGTCCGTTTGGTTTGTTATTTTGGATAGGATTTTGGAAATAGTGAGTAGAGTGATTATTACGAGGTAAAATTTAAAAATTAACAAAAAACCCCCTAGGTTTGCTAATTTAACTAAACACCCAAATATATAAAATTTTTGTAAAATGACAAAAACACCCCCACCCACCGATAGTGTTAGATTTCGGCCACTACTGTCGGAATCTAGCGTTACGACGCATATAGGTGGGATCTGGCTAGTTGTGCGTCGATCTAGCCTTTTCCGACCAAATCCACCACTGATGGCCGGAAAAGGCCAGATCAACAGTCAAATTTGGCCGTCGATGGCTGCAAAAGGCCAGATCTGGCCATCGCTGATGATCATCAGTGAATTACCGGCGAGTACTGGTCGTTTGTAAGTCGTTGTGATAGATTCCTGATACCACCTATGGTGGTTGCTAGAATCTGACAACTATAGGTGAGTGAGAGTGTTTTTGTTAATTTTTAAATTTTTTTCTGGGGGTGTTTAATTAAATTAATAAACTTAAGGGGTGTAAAAAATTAAATATAATATAATAGTATTTCCTAAATAATGAAACAAACAGTTATTTTAAGAATATGATTGGGAATAGGGTATGAAATAAAGAACTAAACGGACCCTTAAATTTTTTTGGTGGGATTCCAATCAAAATTTAAAGTTTGAATCCCTATATTCAACTGGGTAAAAGAAAATGGAATCATGTCAGGAGCCCATTGGAGTGATACCCATTTGAACCATCTTATATTCTTTAATGGGCTACTGTTTTATGTTTCTGGGTTTGGCCTCTGATTTGCGGTTTGCCTCTACTCGTGGAGCCCTTAATTTTCGTCCAAGGACAATAATTGCAAAAAGAGTTTGCTAAATGATAATAGGAACTCAAAAAATAACACCATTCATGTAAAATTTATTACAAATGCAGCCATATTTAGGAAATGTGGCTGCATTTCAGTGTTGTCATTAAAACACATTTAAAATCTCTGTAAACTATTTCATCGAACTTTTTAAAAATAAAAATATATCTTTGATGAAATTTAATAATAATAAAAAAATTATCCTCAAAGTTGAAAATAAACAATGTTTGATTATCTTTCCAATCCCAACACCGTTATGTGGCGGTTATCAACCGCACTTGACAAACTCAAAGTTACATATGGCAAGCAAACTTTCAATTTTTTTTTTTTTTAACAAGATTAATTCCAATTCTATAGGATTAAAGGTTCATGTAGAATTCAGGTGATCGAGACATATAGTGTATAATATTGAATTGAAAAGTATTTTTAATTAAATTATCATATAACTCATCTTAATAACAAAGTCAACTGAAGATATCATAAAACTTCAAATCTGAGAGCAAGATTTTTTAGTCTCAACCCTATGAACAAGTACGTAGATCTGCATGTATAAAATTCATGGCAAGTCAACTACACAATATGCAAAATGAAGTTATGCTGGGTGGAGCGAGGAATATATAAAAGGGTGAGCCAAAATAGCTCAATAAATGGATAATTTTATAATAAACTTTTTTTTCCAAAAAATCCTTTTTCTTTTCTGAAATAATGTTTTTGTGAACATATTATTACAAATTTTACTCCCTCTTCCCAACACCAAGTAAGGCTATGCAAGCAGCAGGCGCGCGCGGAAGCTGCTGTGGGCTGGGACTTTCAGCGAGCAGTTGGTGTGCACCAAAAAGACCCAAGCAAAACGTGATTAAAAAAATCACCCAACACGTCCCAATCTCTCCAGAAAACCGCAGAAACAATAAACACCAAAAACCCACAAAAAATCTTGTGAAAAACACCAAAAATCAGATCACAAAAAACTTACAAGAGAGCAACCCAACACAATTTTGCACGGAAAAGCTTTTCCGGCAAACCACGAACAACCAAGGCAAACCAAGACCAGGGTTTTGAAGAGCAAGACCAGACGGTTTGAACGGGACCAACCACGGCCTTTTCCGATCAGTAAAACGACCGAAAAAGCGACCGAAAATCTGCGTTTTTCACGAAATGTGAGGGCGATTTCCCGGCGAACAGGAAGTCCAATGACGACGGGCGAGGTACGGATGTAAAGAGGATTTCAAGAGCTTTCGAACGGTGGGTGGATCGAAGAAAACCGATGACGGGATCGTCCAGAATCGAGCCGGAAAATTCCGGCTGTGGGAAAGAGTTCAGAGAAAAAATTTCAAAAACAAGGTACTTTTTTATGGTTCTGCTGTGGCTCCTTTTCTAATTGGTGCCTTCCATAATTTCTTGTGTTGCATTGCCATTTGAATCTCTCGTCATATATTCTTTTTTTTCCGTAATTTAAACTAATATTTGCTTCTTCTTTTTTTTTCCTTCATTTCTTACCATTGGAGTTCCTTTCTTTAATGTAAAAATATTGTTTTGGTTAATATGTACATTCAACTGTATCATTTCTTCTGACTTTCAGGTTTGACTCTAGAAATTCTGTCCTGGAATGGTCGATACTTCTCATTGATAACTCTAATGGAAGGTGACTGCTATACTTTCAACTTAGTGAGTTAGATACTCTTATTCAGTGTCAACGAATAAATTTCTTAATGTACTCGACTGAATATGCAGGGGATCGATGGAATTTGTTGTGCCTAGAACTGATTCATCAGCCTTTTTCCCAATCTCCGTGCAGTTTTCAGCCCTGTACATTCAGTGACCTAAAGGTTTGCTTGACATTATAATTTGTTTTCGTGTCATTTTCTCAACGAATAATAATGTGTTTGCATCTCTGTTTGTGGTTACAATCTTGTGGTAACATCAGAGTTCGCAAAGTTTCTGGTTGATTATATTTGCTCCTGTTTTAATATCGTTTTCAAGCATAAAAGCTCTCTCTACTGAGTTTGATAACTGAGTTATAACTATGGTATGTACTTCATACCAGAACTTATGTTAAATTGAATTTTGTTCTGAAAATGCTTGTCCTGCCCTTGGAAACTATTATGTATTTAAGTGATCATAAACCAATGTGAAGGCATAATGAATGTTGTACATTTCACTGTAATCTCGACATTTTGAATGGTGTCGTTAGGAGAATGCTACCTATCACAGCATGCGATTATTTATGGTGGTGATCTATTAGGTTTAAACCAGTTCAGTACCCGTGGAGGTTTTGATGTGGGCTCGGGTTCTTTACAGTCATCAGTATGTTCTTTTAGATGCTGTATAACGAAACGTATAAATTAGTCGTTCCTTTTAAGTTCTCCCCCTCTGGTTTTCATTGTTTATTTTGATTTTTAACTCAAAAATGTTGTTGTAGCAGGGTATAAATATCCTCCCTCTAAGAGGTGGATCTTCTCCCAAGTTTTCACAGAGAATGGTTTTGACCACGGAAAATTACCAAGTTGTGTGAAGGCTTGTTTCTAAATTTGATGCACTGGATTACGAGTTTCCATTGGCATTCTTAGAGTATACTTTGAATTGTATGGGAGTTTGACAATTAGCCATTGTATGAGTTTAGAGATTTCTGTTATTGACCAAAATTTTTCATGTTATTAAATAGTTGATATGATGGGCACAATTTTATATAATTAAAGATTTTGTTATTTCCAGATTCCTGGAGATATATATATATATATATATATATATATATATATATATATATATTGCTAACTTAACATATAAATATTAAAGTCAAAAGGGCAAGTAAAATAAAGGTGTTATTGGTTGACGAAAGGACCAATAAAATAAATGGTTCAAGTGGTTTAAACTTTAAAGAATAAAGAGACCGCACATTTTGACAATATGGGGGCCTTGGAGAATATGCCAAATGTCTTGTGCCATTGTTAGCAAAGACTTATTTATGCATGAAGAAAGCAACTTGCATGCAAACTAACTAAGCTACGTGAACCGTCTTCATTCTTATGGCAATTTAATTATTGATAGGAAAGGTGTCTTCTGTCGGTTGTCATGGATTTACCAGTGTGGATCTGGAACTTGCTTTTCTTGTATATATATTTACATTAGGTGATGATTCCATTGTCATTTCTAGCTCACTACAATTTATTGGTGCATGCCACATATTATTTTTAAATTTTTTAATTAAAGTTTTCAGATCTGTGCATGTCTGTCCGAGATTGTGATACAACAAGCGAAGTGCTGGTGTATAACAAGAGGCGTGGGAAGAAGCACCAGGGGATCAATAGTGTTAAAGGAAGCAACTAAAGTGTGAATTGAAGGTAGAGGGACAGGTGGCGAAAGATAACTGGTGGAGGGATAAATTCTGTTAGGAGAAGAAATGAATAAAGGGAGCAGCAGAGGAGGAAATAGGCATCGAGAGAGAAGTTAGGAAAAGGGGAGGTAGCTGGCCCTCGAAGTCCAGCATATCTGTTTCTATTATGTTCTATTGTTGGTTTCTCTTATTTTCATTGTTGACTAATTAAATCTGGTAGATCTAATATTGAGATACAACCCATACTGGTGTAATACTGATGTTATCAATGTATTCTGTTATTCTGGAATTCTTAATGTTGCAATGAACTGCTGTTTGTTTCTGTTAGGAGCTTTTGTGTGTATGAATGACTGAGAATTCTGGGTAGGTTCGCAACAGATTGTTAATCCGATTAATACAGAAAAAAAGGTGTATTGTATATTCCTTAATGTCTTTAGGTACCTGAATATTCCTACTCTCTGGATGAGGAAGGTATTTGCAGGACAGGTTTCGAGCTGATTTTTGCGTGAGATGAAGTTATCTCTCTTGGGTGCAAAAGGAAAACTTGACTGTTGCACAGGTCAACCAGTACTGTGAGATGGAGAGTCATGAAGAGAAGTTGCACAAGCTGGTATTGCAGAGCAAGATCAATGAAACCAAGGATGTCATGAAGCGCAAAGCTAGTGAGATTGACAAAAGCAAGGTACTTTTTACGGCTCTGTAGTGGTTCCTTTTCTAATTGGTGCCTTACGTAGTCTCTTGGGTTGTGTTGCAATTTGAAACTCTTATACATTCTGCAGATTGAGAAGAATAGAGGTGAAAAGGGAGGCTTTATTTCCTTGCAGTCGATGGGATCTGGAAGAATTGAGAGTGGCTTTAGTGATATGAGCATTTCTAGTGGCCGTGGTGGTGGTGGTTTTGGTAGTGGTTCTGGATTTGGTTTGAGCACTGATGTTGAGTCCTTTTCCACCAAGTCTAAAGGTCTGTGTACTAATTTTTTTATGGGTTGTGGATTTTGTTGACATACATGCTAGATGTTAGCAAACAAACATGCATTTTAGATAAATAATTGAGAATTCTTTTTGAGTTGCTTGGCAGATAGGTTATACTTTGTTCTGTCTTTAAGATATCTGTATGGTGCCTTTTTGTGGAAATCTGTTTAATGGATCTGTTTCTGGACTACTTGATGATTTGTTTTAGAAATGAAGAGAATTCTTATCTCTTATATATTTGCATCATTAGGTCGTCCACCTTCATCTGCCACAGCTCCTCCTAAGGGTCTTGGTATGCAGCTTGGTAAATCCCAAAGGACAAATCAATTCTTGGAATCTCTGAAAGCAGAAGGTGAAGTGATTCTTGAAGATGTGTAGCCAAAAGCAGGCCAGCCAAGATCAGCTGCTCCACCATTCACTGATCCTGTCACTTTGACGGTTGAGGAGAAATTCAATGTGACTTTGAAACGAGATGGTGGGATGAGTAACTTTGATGGCCAAGGAACTTTGTCTCTTAAAATTCTTAATCAAGATGATGGTCTTATCCAAATTCAGGTACTTGGAATTGATGGTCTTATTCAAGGAACTTTGATGGTCCATGTGATTTTGCTGTTATTTATTACAATATATCCTGTGTTATTTCAGATTGAGACTGGAGGGTATCCGGCCATTCTTTTCAATGCCCATCCTAATATGAACAAAGAACTCTTTAACAGTGAGAATATACCGGGCTTGAAGGACCCTAATAGGCCCTTCCCCACTGGCCAAGCTGGTGATGCTGTAGGTGTTGGTCTTTTGAAGTGGAGAATGCAAAGTGTTGATGAGTCAATGGTGCCATTGTCAAGTGGGTTCAAGTCTTTCACTGAATTTTCTCTCTATATCATTTCTTTTCTATGCTAAAAGCATTTATGTGGATTTATATATATTTATTGCAGTTAACTGCTGGCCCTCTGTTTCTGGAAACGAAACTTACGTGAGCATCGAATATGAAGCTTCATCAATGTTTGATCTGCGAAATGTTGTGATCTCAGTACCTCTTCCAGCTCTTTGAGAAGCACCAAGTGTTATGCAGATTGATGGAGAGTGGAGGTAAGAAATTTGATTTTGTATACTTTGTGAGTTTTGGATTTTAGTCATCTTTCCTTCTATCTGTCATGACAAGAATATGTGCCTTCAACACTAGCATTCCTTTTGACTTTCAGGTATGACTCTAGAAATTCTGTCTTGGATTGGTCGATTCTTCTCATTGATGACTCTAACCGCAGGTCAGTGATTACTATACTTTCACCTTCATGAGTTACATATTCTCTTGTTCAGTGTAAGTGCATAAAATTGATATTGTACTCTACTGAATATGCAGTGGATCGATGGAATTTGTTGTGCCTCCAGCTGATTCATCAGCTTTTTACCCCATCTCTGTGCAGTTTTCAGCTACCAGTACATACAGTGACCTAAAGGTTTTCCTGACAATATAATTCGTTTTTCTGTTACTGTCTTAACGAATATCTGTTTCCTTTTCTTTTTGTTGTTACAATCTTGTGGTAACATCATAAGTTTGCAAAGATTCTGGTACTATTTATTTGCTCCTGTTGTAATATCATTTTCAAGCATAAAATCTATACTATGGTATGTACTTCATAGTGGAACTTATGTTAAATTGAATTCAGTTCTGAAAGGGCTCGTCCTGCCCTTGGAAACTATTATGTATTTAAGTGATCAAACTGATGTGAAGGTACAATGGATGTTGTAAATTTCACCATAATCTCGACATTTTGAATGGGATCTTTAGGAGAATGCTACCTATCACAGCATATGATGATATTTATGGTGGTGATCTATAAGGTTAAAACCCATTCTGTACCTGTGGAGGTTTTGATGTGAGCTCAGTTTTTCACGGTCATCAATATGTTCTTTTAGATACCATATAAACGAAATAGATAAATGATTCGTTCCTTTTAACTTCTCCGCCTCTGGTTTTCATTTTCTGTTTTAATTTTTAACTCAAAATTATTGTTGCTGCAGGTTGTAAATATCCTCCCCCTAAGAGGCGGACCTTCTCCCAAGTTTTCATAGAGAACGGTTTTGACCACAGAAAATTACCAAATTGTGTGATCGCTTCTTTCTGAATTTCATGCACGGGGTTATGAGAGTTTCCATTGGCATTCTTAGAGTGCACTTTGAATTGTATAGGAGTTTGACAAATAGCATTTTTTTTTCTTTTTCCATTTTGTGTTAACCCATTGTATAAGTTTTGAGATACCTGTTGCAGCTCTTTTTTATCTTATTGACCTAAAATTTTCATGTTATGAATAGTTCATATGGGGCACAATTTTATAGTATTAAAGATTTTTATACTCCCATTTTGTTATTAATAAAGATTGGTTCAGAACTCAATTTTATAAACTTTATTTTACAACTCTGAGGTGATAGTTCACAATTAGATAGGTAAGATTCATAGTGAACAAATGAGATTTATTTATGAGCTGATCAATTATGAATTGTTATGTTGGGTAAGATTGTGAGAGAAAGTTTGTGAGATTGAATTGTAAGTATAGTATTATCCTTTTGTTATTTTTTTATTCATCAGGATATTTATGGATAGTTTATATTGGCACAATTTTTGCGCCAACTTAATGTATAAATATTAAAATCAGAAGGGCAAGTCAAATGAAAGGCTGGTGCTTGACGACACGACCAGTAAAATAAAGAGTAAACAACATTTTCCCACCCAAGGTTTGGCAAATCTAAGTTCTCATCCCTGGTTTCATAAATTATAGATTGTCACCCTTAAATTAACAGATAACTATTTAATCTAACAGTTAAAAGGGTAAAATGGTCATTTCAAAGATGAAAATTTCAAAACCCTTTACTTCTCAAATTCACCCCACTGAAAAAATTCAAAATAACCCTTCACTTTTCTAATTCACCCCACCAGTGATTTCAAGCCATTTCGACTTGTTTTTGGCACAATGGACCCCTCTTGACACCACAATTATAATCCCCTCAACCCCCAGATCAAAACCCTTAACCTCCCTGCCTGATTGAACCCCCCAATCGTTGGTCATCGCTTTTAGTGTCAATCGGTATTTCATCCAAATTTCGGCAAGTCCTGACTCCGAAAACCACCCCCAAGACCACCAATAGCATCACCGATTTCCCCCCACCAAAACCCCCAACATTTCTAACAACAATTGCCCATTGATCTCCGTCACTTCTCTCTTATGTTTTTACATTTTTTTGCGCTTTTCCAACCAAATTTCGACACCTCGCCGAGGTGCAATTAGGTGGAAAAGTTAGGGGTTTTGGTGAGGAGGATAAGGGGATGATGATGGTGATGTCGGGGAGGTCCAATGGTGTCGAAATCAGATTGGATTTTTGGCTTGGCAAGGATCCTCTGGGGGTTATTTGAGAGAAATTTGAGATATAGAGATTATTTTAGAAAAAAAATAATAGTGTTAATTTAAAGGTGAGAATCTGTAATTTATGAAACCAAGGTGGGAACTTGGAGATTAGCCAAACCTTGGGTGGGAAAATGCCGTTTACTCTAAAATAAATGGTTCAAGTACATAGTGACAATGTGGGGACCTTGGAAAATATGCCCAAATGTGCTGTGCCTGTGGGTCATGGTTAGCAAAGACGTGAGTTATGCATGAAGAAAGCAACTTGCATGCAAACTAAGCTACGTGAACGTCTCCATTCTTATGATAATTTAAGAAATAAAAAAGAGATGCTTCGAATCGATCTGGTTTGTCTCACTGTGTGTGTGTGTGGAATGTAATGCAACGAACTGAAGCAATGTAATGCAAAACTGTGCAGGTCTGTGGCTGTGGCGGGTGGACTTAGGGTTGATTTACTGTGTTTATTAAAACATCTCCAAATGACTCTTTATTATAAAGAGTTTATCCATAGAAATAAGAGTTCATCAGACTCTTTATCCTTTAAATATAAATTAAAGAGTGAATTTGACTTTCTATATTTAGTGAGTTAAATTTCACTCTCTATTCTAATTTTAAATAATAAATTACAAGTGTTTATGTATTTTATTTATGATTTATCTCTTCAATTAAGTTTCTTTCTTAAAAAAATATATTCTCTCTTTTAAAATTTAAAGAGTCTATTAGATTTGAATAAAAATTCTGTTCTATATATTTAAAAATCAATGAAGATGCTCTTTAAAATAAAGAGTATTATTGAAGATGCTCCTATAATTCTAATTTAAGTCTTTAATAAAATTGGAATTGGGAATTTGGGGATTTTTTTTTTTTAAAAAAAGGTTAACCGGTTTGTCTCCGAGCAAGCGGATTTCAAATTGAGCCGAACCAGTAGACTGGTTTAACCTAAATTTCAAACCAGAACCGACTCTATTTAAAAAAAAAAAACAAAAAAAAAAACTATATTTTTTCGTTGGATTTAGTTCAGTTTCTAGTTTCGGTTATAGGGATCCAGTTACGTGTAGAGAAGGTGTGATTGATAAATAAATAAGTTGAAGAATGTGAACAATGGTGATCCAAACACCTGGTCAAATACATATTTATTTGAACTTTGTCTCTTTTCAATACTTGCAAACATCATCATACATACCTAATAAAGTAAACAGGACACCTGTACTGGAGTTGTATTTGCCTTAAATAGATAAACGGGCACTAATTAATTAAACTACTTGTTGATTAAGAAAAGTGTGATTTATAGAGTCAAATTTTTACAAATTAGAAAAAAAAAAAAAAAAAAAAAAAAAAAAAAAAGGGACGCCGTTTTCAAATTTTAAGCTGACTTGATGACCTTTCAGTAGATATTAGAGTGACGATAATGAAAATTAAAAGGCGTTTTCGTTGTTCAATATTTTCTCACATGCCGCAACGTCGGCAAACGATAATGAAACAAAAACGAAACGTTCCCTTTTAAATAGAACTCTTTTGAATTCAAAACAAATACACATCACTAAGACTTCCAATAGCCGTCCAAATCAAGTGTCAGCAAGATGTACATTTAATGTTCAATATAATCACATGCCGCAACGTCAGAAAACGACAATGTAAACGAAAACGAAACGTTCCCTTTAAATAGAACTCTTCTGCTTCTGAATAAAAACAAATAGACAACATCACTGATAATATCGGAGAGAGATAAGTATGTCAAATACTCAAGGAAATGGTCCAATGCCTATGGCTACTTTCGTGATTCAACAACCCTACCGATCCACCACGGCCATCTCCCGGCATCCAAACACAAGAAATAACGCCGGTAAAGACTGTTACCGGGTTATGGTGAAGGACTGGGTGCAAGTTCATCAACTGTCTCCGATCCACCACCAATACCAAGTGCACCGACTTATCCCACCAATGGAGCCTTCATGTTACCCAGTCAGTGACTGGGATAATTTCGATAATGGTTAGTTCATATTTTTGTAAGTTTTTTAATTAAAAATCTGGCGTCCCAATCATTCTGTCCGAGTTCTTTTTTATTTTCACATTCTTCATTCTTATGGGGAACCGAGTTCATCATCTTCGGCTTATCTTTTTTTTTAATCTTTTCTGTTCGGGTTGGAAATTGTCTTACCTGAGTCATCCTCGTGCTTTCTCGCAACTTTCTCTGAGTTCTTCTCTACCCATTATAAACTCTTTCCCAGTTCTTCATGTCCATCTTCACATTCGCGTCGGGTTGGAAATAGTCATACCCGGGTCATCAAACGCAGCTTTTCCTGAGTTCTTCTCTACCCATTATCAACTCTTTCCCAGTTGGGTTGGATATAGTCTTAGCCGAGCCATCCTATGCAGCTTTTCCTGATTTCTTCTCTACCCATTATCAACTCTTTCCCAGTTGGGTTGGATATAGTCTTAGCCGAGCCATCCTATGCAGCTTTTTCTGAGTACTTCTCTACCCATGATCAAATCTTTCCCAGTTCTTTTTAGGTTCACCTTCACATTCGGGTCGGGTTGGAAATAGTCTTACCCGAGTCATCCGACGCAGCTTTTTCTGATTTCTTCTCTACCCATTATCAACTCTTTCCCAGTTCTTTTTTATTTACACCTTCATATTCGGGTCGGTTAGAACTCAAAAAGTAATACAGCCAATGGTACTTTGTTATTCTTTATTATTTATAAAGTACTAGAAGCTGATTAGTGCACTTTTTTCAATGCCATGTAGGTTTAAAGATTGCGGGAGTGACAACTTACTTTAGTTGTGTGTTCGGTGTTGGCAATGCTGGTTCAGGTTTAAATATTCAATAAGGCTTCTTGGTTAATGTAATGAGTCATCTATGTGTGAAATTGTGAGGTTTTTCTTATGTTACTTTATAGTTTTAATACAGTATTATCTTGAATTTGTTATTGGAAATGAGATCTTAGCCTCTTTTTGTTAATTTCTGTTAATGGAAATCCTGGAAAACCATTTCAATGAATTATGTATCCAAGCTAATTGAATCCCACGTTGTTCAAATAATCTTGAACTCCGAAAAAAAAAATATATAATGAAGAAATCAAACGTTTTTAGACCAAATCAAATAATAGAAACAAAAACCATGTGAAAATCAAAACTCTTGGCAAAAATAGAAAGTTTTTAAAGAGACAGATTAAGGATTTCAAAGGGTAAAAAAAGAGATTTGGATGATTGAAAGGGAAAACAAAAGAATGAAAATGGAGAAGAATTGAGAGAGAGCTCACAGAGAATAGAGGTAGAGGCGGCGGCTTGTGGCTGGATATGGAGATGGAATAGGGCGGTTTATGTAAAAATGTGCACGCCACGCCATCCACCGTCACAGCCGCAACCTAGCCTACTCCTCACCGACTGGTACGTGTATTATCAGTAAGCTCATGAAAACAAGAAAATAAAAGAAGACGAAAAATGCCAACCCACTTGCAAACGCAACAGCCACAGAGATTGTTGATAATAAATTAACCAACTTCCAATGACAGTGACGGCTGGGTTGGTATAATATTTTTGTACGGAGAGAATATTTTAATTCTTCAGATTCTTTTAAAGTTAAAAAGAAATTCAGATAAGGATGGTCAAAGGGATAATTTATTATTAAAAATTATTAAATACCAAATATTATATTAGTCAGTTCTTCTTTTGCTTTGCAAGGGATAAGACCAAGACTCCGTAACGCTATCAACTACCCCACCATGCCGCATCGGCGTGTGATTGTCAAAGAAAATTTGTATTTTTAACGTTAATCCTATTAATTCTGTCAGTCATCATCACTAATTTAGCAGCAAAGTATTCATTTTTTTATTGATGCTAGTCATCTCTCCCGGTCTTATGTGATACGTGTATGGTTTGTTTACACCTGTTAGGTTTCTTTAATTTAGCATACTTATTTTTATTTGTTTTGGTTGGTTGAGTTGAAAAGATTGGTGGGTGAGAAAAAAAATAAAAAAAGTTGACTCTTAATTAAGGCAATTTTGTGATAATCTTGTGGTTTAATTGCAAATAAAATAAACTAGTAGGGACTGAATAGGAGCGCAGAATTAAGAGGACTGAAAGGAAATTTTTATTAACTCTTTCTGTAAATTGAGTAACGGAAGAAATGGGCTGAATTTATAGTCCTAAGGCCAATTAAAAACTAACTAAAGAGCTTAAAAAGATATTAACCGGGCTTAAATAACAACACTCTATTTATTAACACGTGTGTGTACAATTTGGAAGCTTTAGGCCGGCCTCCCTTTTAGCAGACATCTGGGATTTCGATTGTCGATGGCCCATTTACTCCATTATGGACTTTGTCTTGGCCTCCCCATCCCCTTTTTTGTGGACTTTATTTAATTTGGGCTAAGTTTGATTTATTATTTAAATCAATCAGCCCAAATTAAATAAAGTCCCACCAAAATTCTTTCTAAATAATTTTTTTGTTTGCTAATATATAATCCAGTTAGGTAATTCGGAATCCAAAGACTGCACTCTCTATATGACTGTCTCCATCCAATCCAAGACGTCCAGACCATAGAGAATCAGGCTGTCTGGAGGGAATTTAATATCACTTTCTAAATCATTAAAGTTGCCCCTTGAAACTTGAATATACAACGGTAGAAATTCTAGGGTACCTTTGGTTCAGTATTTTGGATAGGATTTTGGGGATAGGATTAGATAGTTAGATAGGGTTATGATTACGATAATAGGATTTACAGAATATGTGTTTGGTTGAGTATTTTGACCTTAATATTTGTGTAGAATATTTGATTAATATATATTTTTTATAAATGATTTATTAATAAAATATTTTGTTGAATTTTGTTAAAATAATGTATTATTATATATATAACTTATCAAGTTACATTTTAATAATACTAAATATTTTATTGGTAATTTTGTCACCCGTAGATATTAAGAAATAAAAACTCATTAATTTCAAGTACTAATCCAACTGTTTAAAAATATCATATTAATACATATATGACAAAAGTACTAATTATCAACCCTTACAATCATTTTTACACGTACACTTCATTAACAACTACAAAAAAAAATGCAAACGTGTCATAAGTTGTCAAAAGAGAACGCGTGAAAAAGGGGAAGACTGCAAAAAAAAAAAAAAAAATTCAAACAGTCAAGCTGTTAGAAAAGTGTTGGAATAGGGTTTTGAAAATCCTATTATCTAAATATTGAATCAAACACTATTCTCAAAATCTGACTCAAAATATGGATGAAAATATTAATCCTGTCAGTCATCACTTTTTCCAAAGAATTAAAACGGAGTCAGCTGGTTTGGTTCCAAATTCTAAGAACCGGTCCATTTTGGTTTCAAATTCAAGGAATTGGGTGGTTTTGATCCGGTTCCCTCCAATTTTGGTGAGTATCAAACAGGTAATAATCACGTACAAATATTCAATTAAATGTACTCAATTTTCTTTTTTTTAAAAAAGGTTTTTTGTTTTGTAGAATTTATAATTTTGACCATACTTAAAATCATGTTGACTCTACAAAAATGAATTATTAATTAATATTTTTAACTTTTCTTCCTTCTTCATTTCCTTTTATTTTTTCTTATATTATCTTTTTCTTTTGGTTAGATATTCAAGAAATGCTACTCCTTTGGATTACAAAATAACATGATGCTCATTTTATTTTTATTTTTATTTAAAATTCTTTTCTTTTAGCTTTCTTAATTGATGAAACATCATGAACTATAAGTTTTTGTTGAGTTTAATAAATGGCTTTGAAATTGCAAGATTAAATTTATAGATTTTGATTTGAGTTTTCATTTAATCTTGTTTAAGTTGAGGTATGAGTTAATTAGTTGTTATTTTAAGTTAGTTTTGATAAATTTTGGTTAATTATTTAGTTAATTTTGTATGATTTAAAGAATTAATGAAACCATAAATTGTAAAGATTTGAGAATTTGGTTTAATTTTGATATATTGATAAATTGCTTGATATTTAGAGTTGAATTTGATAAGTTTTTATGAGTTTATAAGTTGAATTTTATTGGATTAGTATAAATTGTTTGAAAAATCTAAATTATAAGATTTGGAGCTTCGGTTTATAGTTGATACTTTGACCCTACTGATTAAAAATTCTAGCTACATCCCTAATACCCAACCTGCTCACCCCTAATCGTGGTTAGCAAAGACGTGACTTATGCGTATAAAAAGCAAAACTGCATGCAAACTAAAATTTGTGTTCCAAGTAGATAGTTGAAATAAACTATAGTAGAGAATAATTTACATGTTGTATTTGCCTTAAATGATATCATTACTACTAATTAAACTTGTTGATTAAGAAAAAAATGTGGTATAAATTGAAATTGAAATTAATTTTGTTTTTCTTTTTGATAATATTGTAATAAATTAACTATTTTTTCATTTCTATATATATATTAAATACCGAACTCATTGCACAAGTTTCTGACATTAGGAAAATCTATATAAATTTCTTATAAATATTTCATATCATTTCTTTGTTTATTTTGTTTAATGTTTTTAATATAATTTCTATATATATTTCTTATAAATATGTATTCTGGGCTGCTGTTCTGGGCAGGAGAATTTACTATTTTAGGCTGCTACAATCACTGTTTTGGGCCTGGGGTTCTATTGTTTCTGGGCTACAGTTTCATTGTTTTGGGCAGGTGTTTGAGGCAAAAATCTTCACTTCTTCGGCTCCTCTTTTACTACTGTTTTTGGGCTAGTGTTTCTCTATTTTTAAGGCTGCTTTAACCCGTCTTTGGGGGTTGATGTTCTAATGTTTCTTGGTCGCTTGGCCATTATTTCATGTTTTTGGGGCTGTTTAGCAAAAAAATTGGGCTTGTTTCTATTTTGGGCTGTGATAACTAGTGTTTTGAGGCTGCTGTTTTACTGTTTCTGGGCCACTGTTTCATTGTTTTGGGCGAAAATCTTCACTACTTCACTAATTTTCGGCTGCTTTCACTATTCATCTATTGCTTCTTCGGCTCTTCGGGGATGCTGTTTTACTGTTTTTGGGCTCTTGGAGCATTGATTCTTAAACATGTCAAAAAAAATTTCGATCACTGGTTTTCAACAATCGGCCACCCATTTTGGCCACAGTACTAGTTAAAACATCTAAGAGTGTGTTTGTTTTAGTATTTTGGATAATATTTTTGAAAAAGTAAGAGTTGAATGGTAATAATGAGGTAGGATTTGAAAATTAACAAAAACGCTTCCTTAGGTTTGTTAATTTTTAAACACCCCTGTAATAAAAACATTAAAAAGTACAAAAACACCCCCACCCACCTATTAAATACCTGTAGTCGGCCACCACTGTCGGAGGGTGGTCGGAGTCGCCGTATTAGAGCATGACCGATTGGATTTGGCCGGTCATGCACCAAGATGACATTTTCTAAGCTAGAAAAGGCCAAATCTAACCATTAATGACCTGATGTGGCCGCGTTTGGTCATCGTTGACGACTAGCTACGGACAAAGATCTGGCCATCAACGGCCAGATATGTGGTTGTAGATTTGGCATTTTCTAGCCAAATCCATGGTAGATCTGGTCGGAAAAGGCTATATCGACGCACTACCGGCCATATCCAACCAGTAGCGTGCCATTATATCACATTCCAGCCACCTTTCGATGGTGGTGGTCAGAATCTGGCAAATGTGGATAGGTGGGGGTGTTTTTGTTAATTTCTAAACTTTTTTGGGGGATATTTAGTTAAATTAACAAACTTATGGGGTTTAAAAATAATTGAATAAAATATAATAGTATTTTAAGAATAGGGAAACAAATGTGTATTTTGGAAATAATAGAAATATAATAGGGAAAAAAAATGCACCCTAATTTTTTTTTAATTTATTAAACGATAATATATAATAAAAAGGCCTTAAAAATGAAGGACCACCAATATATGGTTTGATTTTAGTTAATGGAAGAGAGAATTTCTCAAACAAATCTTCTTTGTGGGTTTATCCTTTAGTTTTCTTGTTAACGATAAAATTATATTAAAAACATTAAACAAAATAAAAGAGCTGCATCTTTCGATTTACTAATAACCACCTCCACCGTCCTTCTCATGACCACGAGTTCCCCATTCAAACAAGATGACTCATGGATATTAATATTTGATATTTAATTATATTGAAATTCTGTGTATTAATCTTTGATATTTAATTGGACTTATATTGATTTTTTATTCCCAACATGTTATATAGTCATATTGTACTATAATGTATGAAAAATTTATAACGAACCTATCAATTACAATTTAACCTCCACTACCTGCAACAATAATTACTTAAAAGGAAAAAAATTATTGAACCGAAAAACTTAATAAATATAAACAGGTTCCGATGATACAATACAATAGACTTTCAAGGTCAAACAAATCTGAACATGGGTTTACTTGGTTTAAACAAAAACCTAGAATGATATGTTGAACAAAATATATCTCCTAGAAGAGGATACTGCAATAGAACATATAGAGTGGCTGGTACAGACGTAAATACAGTAGTAAGCATCGTGACACAATTTAATCTATCATGATAAGCTAATAAAAGAGTTGTGCTAAAAGCTACCATCATGGTGATTATGGATACAAAGAGTGTAGAGAGTCCAACCATCAATTTAAATGGTAAAGACTCCAAAAAATCATCTTCTGTATATCGCGATGTAAGGATCGACAAAAACATCAGAATAGAAATAGAAGACGAGGATAATGCGATTACATCTGATATGACAAAAACTTGAAACCATGTCTCTTTCAGATGAATAGGTAATCCTTTGCTACTATCGTTACCGCCTGGTACACTAAAAACTGCTGCAAAAATTATAGTGGTAATGATTGTTGCAACAAGCATACATGAGTTAGCGGTATGCTTCATCCATTGTTCTCCGCTTTTCAATAACTCTTTGTGCTCTTCAGTGAATAACACTTGAGGTGTTTGGCCTTTTGAGTTCTTCTTTTCTCGAAAGGAAGGTTGCACCATTTTTCCTATCTCCTATAGATATCAAACATGTTACAGTTTGAAATATGACAATTGAAATTAGGACAATAACTGGATTCAGAAAATTTAATTACCTTAGACCATAATAATTCTCTCTGCATTTGTAGAGCTGCACCTGATAAGATACCAATTCGACTTGGATGTGGTAATTTTGCAGCCAAATGCAACATATTGTTCTGCTCCTTATCTTCACAAGTCATGAACAACTTCTTACTTAAACCTATCTCATATATTAGATTGAAAACATTGGCATGACGGTGTAAAACTGCAATATGAAACATAGTGTAACCATTTTCATCAAATTGATTTATCAAACTAGGATAACGGGAAATGAGCTCAGCCAAAAATTGGGAATTTCCAAATTCTGCTGCCTCAAAGATGATTCGTGAAGGTGTTTGTGTTAGTTTATCTAGCTCCGCATTCGAGACATGTTGTTTTAACATTTCTTCCCATAGGCATTTGACTAATTGAAGAGCTTGAGTTGATTCGAAATCCTTGCTGTGATTCAACTTCATTAATCCTGAGACTAAGAATTAGATCATGCAATAAATTTTGTACTAATTAATTTAATGGTTGACTAAAATCATAGATAAAAAAAAAAAAAAAAAAAAATTAAGTGTTGAAGAAACTAACATGAGTTGATAAGCCTTCTGAATAGACCTTGATTGTTGTCAGAAAATATTGAAGGTTTTCGAGCCAAAACATGTAAGGCAGTCTCAGAATTTCCATCACGAGCCGTAGCTAATTTGGGATCACCCTTTAGCATTTTTAATGCGAGATCTGAACAATTCAATAAATTAATTGTAAGCAAAAAATTCGAATGTTAATATTTAGCTAGCTTCTTTAAATTTTTTTTTGAACGTTTTATATTGTTTTGAGAGTTTTTTTTTTTTTTTTTTTACCATATTTTCTATTTTAATTTTTTTTTTTTTTTTTATTGTTTGATTTTCAATTATGTATTTTTCTAATTTAAAATTATCTTTTTGCAGAAAATTTGTTTTCGAAAATTATGTGCATAGGGTAAAAACCTGCTGAAAACTTAGCTATTTTAAAAAATTCCTTAAGTCAAGGTAGGGTACTAAGGCAGTTGGCTTTATAACTTTTTGAAAGAATTAACAACTTTTTCCCACCCAAATAATGGCTTAATAGCACTTTTTCACCAACAAACTTTTAAAATACCATTTTCCCACCCAGAAATATACACTTTTCGATTCAGTGGCAAGCGGAGAGCAAACTCGGTCCATGCTATTAGGGCTTTTAAAGAAAGGAGGCCGTTGAGTCTTTTGGTGGTTGAAGGTTGGATTTTTGTGATTATGATTGGTCGGTGTTTGACTTGGGAGCAGCGAATGTGCAAACACTAATTGTTCGATTATCGACAATTAACAGAGTCAGTAGGAGTAAGGGTTCAAGGGGTTTTGGTGAGTGATGAACATGGGAGAGAATGGTACTAGTGTGGAGTCTCAAAAATGACAAAATCAGCCAGTGATTGGTAGGGTAAGTGGGAAAATGTCATTAAAAGGTGTAATTTGGGTGGGAAAGTGGTATTGTAAAATTCTATAGGTGGGAAAGAGTCATTAAACCATTATTTGGGTGGGAAAAAGAAATCGTTGACTCCTTTTTTAAATAAGAAAACTTGTCAAGAAATATTACTGTATTATTATTTGGAATTTATGTTTATGTTATATATAATAAAAATAATTATGTGTTATCATATGTTGCACTAACATATAAATAAAGTGATATTATATGATAGTGACAATATCACATATAATAACATTTTACTTCAATATATAACATAGGATAAGTTTTAGAATGAATATTATTAATCAAACCATCACTGGTGGCTCAACGGTCAACTAGAACTCTCAAGTGTATTATTCAATATGTCATAAGTTCAGTCCACCTGGATTGCTAATAGGGGTGCCACGGAGGGGATTTACCTGGCTATCAATTTTAAGGTTCAGGAGTTTAATTGAAGTATGCATAAGTTGACTTAGACACTCCCGATCACCAAAATATAATCCAAAATTCCTAGGCTACCATATCAATTTGTTATTTCCATGTCAATATTTTATAAAAATACATGTATATCACTTGTGATAAAGTTTAATATAAGAGTTAGGACGTTTAATATTAGTTTTTTGAAATGGTTGTTTATGAGCATACTTTAAAAATATTAGAAGACAAAAAAGTTTATACACATTAAAAATTGATTTTTTTTATAATCTTTTTCTATATAATATATATCAAAATAAGTAAATTTTTTATCTTATAATGCTTTAGACATGTACACTTAAGACATATATTAAAAAATAAAAAAAGTTAATCTAAAGAAAAGAAGTGAATTGGAATATGTAGTCTTACCATATAAACCATTGGTGAGACAAGTGAAAAATAGAGCAATTTCGTCCTCCCACTGGAAAACATGTTTCGCTTGAGATAATTCGTATAAAAAAGATGCCATCTCCCCTTGTGCTAACAGAGCAGCCAAAAACACAGGCATCATCTTTTCACCACCTCGGATTGTCAAAAGACTAGGATTCTTCTTCAACATAATCCTAGCGATATCAGTAGCTCCTGCTGCAGCGGCGCAACAGAAGGCCGTATTTTCTTTTTTGTCCTGCAGGGTCAGGTCTTCCGATTGGATCAACTTTATTAGCTCCTCTACAAAGCCAGTTTGTCTGGCTCCTGCCGCAATATGAAGAACAGTTTCGTGTCCCTTTGTGATACCAGCACACAACATCGTAGGATCTTTTTCTAACAATTTTTTGGCACTTTTCCAGTCACCTTTTAATGCAGCCTTATGAAGAGGCACACAGTTGTTGAGATAAAGGTTTGAATTTTCTCCTGCATGTGCAAATTCAATAGACGAAAACAATTTATAAAGTGTTTGACTTATAAACATGCATGCAAACTTAGAGAGAGAGAGAGAGAGAGAGCATCAAGAATATGGGATTTGTGCTTAGGTTTAAATAAAACATTCTTCGTACAAAGAGGAAGAGAAATATTTATTATTGTAATGGACTCATGTACTACTTTCAGCAAACCTCAAGGACGAAAAATACTATTATCCCTGAAAGAATATGCGAAAGAGCAAGTGAAAGAGAGTGAGCTCACTAGAAAGGAGATGAAGGGAAGGCTGCCTCTGTCTTTGTTCATGAGTTGAAGTCCCGTTTGGTGTTAAACGATGAACATCTATTTGTGAATCACCCATTTTCTTCTTCAGAAAGAATATCTTTGAAAAGAGTTGGTTAATTAACTCTAGAAGACAAGGTTACTAGGGTTGTCTTTTATAGATTATTTTGTTGGGGCTAGATCAGTCACTCTGTGGAATTTAAGGACACAACATTCTACTCATCGGTGAACAGACTCTAGTGTGGATACTTTAGAAAAAGGCCTTATCACTATTTGTGACCACTGACCTCATCTATGTTACCATCATCACTTAGGTTTGGTGAAAAAACGTGAACCTCAAAGTTTAGTGTTAATGGGGTTTGTAAATTCGAGTTTGGAAGGATGTACTTTGAGCCTTGTTATTTCCCGTAAGTAAAAGATACGATTCAAGCAGCTCCCACCAGTATGATTTTTGAATAATTTCTGAAATGGGTTTTTTCTAAGTATACCCAAACATAATATTTAGTTGTAACTGTTAAAGCTACTAGGGGGGGTTTATGAAATTAACCCATTATAAAATTCTTTTAAAAGTTAAAATTTTAAAAACTATATTTATTTTTATAGAGTTTACGAAATTTAATAAAATCTATTCCACATTTTGTGGAAAAATACCATTATTATATTTATTATCATTAACTTTGACTTGCAACAGTTTGTGTTTACTGACGAAGACCTCACTTTATTATTGTTTTTTTCAGCGAATCATAAATAGAGAAAATAAAAGTAAATCTGCTTTACATATGAATAAAGATTAGGAATCAAAGAAAAATATATAAAGTAAATAGAAATATTCGCTTGTTGGGTCCAGTAGTGGAAGCAACATTTTAAGGAAATTGCAATGAAATTTCTTTGAAAAGACAGAAAGCAAATGGTGACTGGACCTACGATGTGGAAATTAAAATGGTTTGGTCTATTGTAAAATTCTGAATGATTTGGCCTCTTAATCTATGTCACAACTTATGTTACAAGTTCACCTTATCAACATTACTAATTTATTATTTACATTTTTTATTGATGTTACAAGTTCACTTTATCTCAACCACAAGCATTATTTTTTCTTTCTTTGGGGATGTTGACACCATTTTTTCTTTTTCTAGGCTATAATTTATAGGCTACTGTGTCACTTTATTTGCGTACAAGGTGGGAAATGATTTTTAGTCCTTACTATTTTTTTTAGCTCGTTCTTTTTACTTTAGGTAAATATATAACTATAATACAAGTTTTATTTTTCTTCTTCCATATTTTAATTTCAAAGCTTTATAGTTTCAGTTATCAAAAAATTAAATAAAATTTAGGTTACTAAGAATTCATAATTTCACTAGTAATTTGAAGCTCATGGTAATTATCAAAATTACTTTATATTTCTTCTTAACAACATAAATTAAATTGATATTTGGGAAAACAGTTGAGAATTATATTGTCTAAATAAAAAAAATAAAAAATAAAAAATTGATCATATAACCAAAAAATGAATAGATTTGAATCAAACAAGGTATTTGTGTTAATTTTTTGAGTATTTTTAAAGCTGACAACTTTAGAAATAGAGGAGATTAAAAGACTTCAAATCTAGAGCAAAATAATGAACATATTGATAAATTTTTTCTAAGATTTTTGAATATATATGAGAACCTTTGTTAACGTTTTTTTCTAAGTACTTTATACCCCTATCTACAGAGAAGATGGGAGCTAAAGTAAAAAAAATATTTGGCAAAAATCTTCACTATTTTGAGGTTGTTGTTAAACTGTTTTGGGATACTGTTTAGGGATGGCCGTTTTTCATGAACCAACAAGGATTCATCCCCGACCCGGACTAAATGGGGCGGGGAATCCCCGAAAATTTAGGGATGGGATCAGTGATGGTCCTCATAAAATTCCTCGACGTCGAGGACAGGCTAGGGAAGAGGATTCGTCAATCATGGCCTGACCCGCCCCCATGGAGACCCGCCTTGTTATTCATTTATTAAGAACTTTATGTTTTTTTTTTTCCTTTACTCGATTATATATAAAGTCAGGTCCCATGATTTAAGAATCATGGTTTTAAGTAATACATCTAAATTTATGATTTTTATTTTTATATACTTTTTAATATTTGTATTAAATTTATAAAAAAAATAATTTAAAGGAGGGAGTCTAATAATTAAATCGATGTATCATTATTTGTTGAATTTCACAAAATTCTCTAACCAATTGATGTCCCAACTTATTATTCAAGTTCACATGTCCCAAAAATAAATCAAATTAGATTATTACAAAACCAATATAAGAATATACACAATTGCTTAATGTTAACAACTTATAAGTTTCACAAATTCAATTATTTTTTAATTAATTAATTAATCAATTAATTATGATGTTAAACTTAATCAATGTTGGAAACTTGGGATAATGGGATTTGTCCCTTTCACAAATGAACTAATTTATTAGTTGTAGTGGATATAGTGATTTATGAATCAATTAATCAATTTACGTAGTAAATTATGTTAAGATTAAATATAGTTGTATTAATTTTATGAAAAATTAATTAATTAACATAGCTAACTAAGCCTATGCCTCCATACAATTGAATAATTAATTAGTTTATCTAGTAAATTATATTAAGATTGAATATAGTTATATTAATTTTATGAAAAATTAATTAATCAATAAGGCTGACTAATCCTAACATCCATACAATTGAATAATTAATCAAATTACCTAGCAAATTATGTTAAAGATTGAATAATTAATCAATGTATCAATTTGTTAAAGGACAAAACTACACCAAGATACTTGATTAATATTTATTAAACGGAAAAATTTGCATATAAAAATGAGCCACTATAATAAAATGCTAATCATAGCAAAAGAAAAAAAAAATACTAATTAGGAAAGAAAATGACATAAAAATTAATTCCATTTGATTATATTAATCATTTTTAGGATCAATTATTGATCCATATGGGGCAAAAAATCCCTGCAAAACCCCATTTGTCGAGTCGGGGTGGGACGGGGATGGGAGTGACTCCATCCCCACGGGGCCAGGGATGGGATTTATCCTCGTCTACGGGGACAAGTCAGGTATAGGGATGGGGTTGAAGTCGGGGACGAGGCCGGGGACCCCATTCCCCGGCCCGCGCCCATCACTAGTACTGTTTCACTATGTTTTGGATTGCTTTAACCACTCTTTTGGTGTTGGTGGTTTTCTATTTCTTGGGCCCTGAGCTATTGATTCCTCCATATACTGGAAGTTTTCTAGTCATCAGTTTCCGGCAACTAGTTGCATTTCTGTTATTGTACTATTCAATATATTTAAAAGTTCCTTAATACAAATAAATTCTAGAACTTGTTTAGTAGTTATTGAAACATGGAATACATGGAGAATGCTACATGTGATACTATAACATGTATATTAGAATTTTGCAAAAAAAATTCAATCAAATTAAAAACAAATAAGGGAAAACTTGTTACCTTAAGTCCTTAGCAACCTTAGAGACTTTAAATTTCAAGAGAAATTAAATAAAAGATTATCCACACTAAGGTAAAAGAAGAATTAGGCTAAAAGAGACATTTACGGTTCTTAGAAATTTTGATCTCTCTCTTAAAAATTGATATATCATTTTCTTTATATATGTAGCCTTGTAAACAATTCGATAATTGTTTTGGACTTCCTTAAACAATTCGTTGTTTTGGAGTTGTAAATGATTCCATAATTAATATGAAGTTATTAAACTTCTTTAAATAATAACATTTAATTAATATTTAATCATAATTAACAATTTAACTCTTAAATTATTTACATAACAATTTAACCCTTAAGTTATTTATATGATTACAATTACAACCCATTGTTAAATTCAATTTAATATAAAGAAAATGATTAATTATGAATTGAAATTCCATTTGATTTCATTCAGCATTTTAACTCTTAAATTATTCATAATAACTAATATAACACTCCATTGAATCTAATTCAATGATAATAATATAAATAACTTTATTACCTTTAGTAGGTGCTAGCCAACTTTGGATAATCAATTTTCTTTGGCTATTTCTCTATTCTCCTTAGTTTTTATGTGTGACGTCTTAGGTTTATAGTGGCCTAGCCGTGGGCCCAATATCATAGTTTATTCCGATATGTTTGGTCATAACTCTTTATAACCGAAACTCCCACCGATTATAGTAGGTATCTAGCAATGTTCGATAACCCCTACGTCACAATGAAGATGTATTCCAACGAACCATTTTATAATCATACGCACTGTGTAATCAAATCCTTCTGTTGTCTAATCCCAATTAAGAATGGATTCATGGTATGTCAAAATCTTTATCTTGATTTTATATTAAATTGAAAATCAATACATACGGAACGTGTTACCATGAAATAGCCTTTCAGGTAATATTTTATATACCCTGGCCGAAGATTTCCCTTTTCCAACGTATCTTAAGATTTGTCTAGGAACCTGATATTAATCTATACCAAGTCAACGGATCCCATTTTGACTATCTTGTCTTCACACATAAATGACACGTGACCAAATCGATTTATTAACACATGACATGATTAGCCTCGTGTTTACACACTATATGAATCATATGCGTTTATGCAAAATCCAACTATGATATCTCAAGTCTAATGAGTAATAATATACTAGTACGATCTTATGATGCATCATTGACTACATTTTAAATGTCCATGTGATTAATCACAAATGACCATATTCGATAAACAGTTCATTGACCGTTTATCCATACTAATGCTTTAGTGATATAACTTTTATAATCACCCACACTAATACCATCATATGATATTCAACAGAGGCATTCAGTATGCCTACTATGTAATATTATTGCCCAATTAATATTACCTATGTAAGGAATAATTTGATGATTTTAACCTTTTAAAGATTTGTATTATTTAGACATTTCATATGTATTACATATATATAAATGAAGCAATAAACCTCATGTGAAATAAGAACATTTTATTTTATTAATAAGATAAAATTGTATATACAAAATATATACATTAACATATATATATATAACATAATACCTTGAAACTGACGACACGATTGGTTTTTATGGCATACAGTAACAGTTATATATAAATTTATATTTATTATGATAAAGGTATATTAGGTAATTAATCATGTGTTTCTTTAAAAATTTTAGTGTCTAGATATAAGTTATGGAATTTTATTTTTTCTATTCAAAAGA